TTCATAGAGAACAAAAAAAAAAAAAGGTGTAAAACATAAGTAGATATCTCATACTGAACTGTCTATCACCTCAGAGAATTACAATTTCCCTTTCATGTCAGGTGGCTACACTACAGTAACTAAATGGATGGAATATATTGGCATTTTGAAGGCATGCTGTGCCGTGCTTCTGCCAGTGCCCTTGGCTGGCCATCCACCTCCATCCCATGCACCAGGGAGGGATCTGGCAGGACGAGCGATGACTGAGGTGCCTTCTGGACTCCTTGAGCCGGGCAGTCCAGTGTCGCCACAGCGACTGCTGCTGGCACCTTGGTAAGGTGGGCATCCAGCTGGCTGGGAGATCACACCTGTGTCAGAAAGTTGGCTGGATGGTATTTAAAAGAAGAAAACAATTCCACTAGCTGTCACATGATTTTCTTTCTAGGTTTGTCTTATTTGGTATTTTTTTGTTGTCATCTCTACCAAAAACAACCCAAAGTCTGGATGAGAAGCAGCACGTTGGAACAAGCACCCAAAAGTTCTTTGCTTTCATCTATCTCATTTGAAAGATTTACCACATGCTGCAGGTTAAGCTGTTAGACAACATTATTCTAACAAGATATGGCCAGCATTTCTATAGTGTATTAAACATTTTCTTGCAGATTTATGCACTCCCTTTAGCTATAGTCCATATGCTGTATATATTACAAACTGGTGTGATAAAGACTCAGTTAATTTTCTGAGACTCATGTGTTAGGTTTTTGGGGTTTTTTTCCCCTTCGGTTTTCTTCCTCTCAACTCCCCGACTAATTGGGCAAAGACACAACTAGATACCCGTACCCGGTACATCTTCAGACTTGTCTGCAGTTCTAGACGTGCAAATATCTTTTCAAATCTGGTTCCATCACTTCACATTTCTTATAATGCACTACAGACAATTACATGCCTTAAATCTATTTAGAATGCTTTATTGCTCAGAAGAAAAAACTACTGGAAATTACCACTATCCTATTAAAAAATTGAAAAAAAAAAAAAAAGAAATAAGAATTCCAGTTACCCTTGGCATTGTCAGAAACCACCTCCACCTCAGGTGAAAACATGCCAGACAGATGGGATGTGGCTTGTGAATGGAGTGCAGTCTAGGATTCAGCAGGGAAAATCTCTGGAATTTTAACTCTGAGCAGGCATCTCATAGGTCCCTGCTAGAGAAGCACTTCATTGACTTACATGCATATTTCAGTGCTTTTTTAAATCAGAATTCCCTCAAAGGGCTGTATGCTAAGCTACATTTCACTATTAAGTTTAGAGTAGGACACAAATCATAAATAAAGGCAAAATCCATTCCCGATGTGAACTGGGGTTATGTTGGAGATGAATTTGACACAACTGACCTGTTTGGTTTTTCTCTCTCAAGGCAGGAAACTGCAGAGACTGGAGGAGCACTCTTTTATCGAGGTGCAGCAGCAGCACTGCTTGCAAATACAGTTGCACGAGTCTCGCAATCTTTCACTCAGGGCTTATTCTAGAAACTTCTTCCTCCCTCCCCCCCTATCAACTGCAACAAAAGTTTTGCTTGAGGAAGGAGCAAGACCCAGAAGAGCTGCTCTGTTGCTTGTGTTGCAATATCCAATCTGAGTGTTACTATCAGCTTTTGGAAACAGACTGTATAGAAAACACAGATGATGTTTGCATATTTTAATTTTAAACATCTCTGCTCGGCATAAGGATGGAACCTAATAAGTTCCTTTGTTTCTGCCTCATGAATTAATTCAGCCTGCTAACTGATTTGGATAAAGCATTTTGACTGCAACTAATAAATTTCTTCTCTGGGCAGGCAAAAAAACTTTTGGAGGCAAAGTAACAAGTTCATTAGCTTGCCAAGAGAGGTACTTTTATAATATCTATAAGGAACAGAGTATTTATTTTTAACCCACTTGTTCCACCTATGTCTTTTAAATCAATCAGATAAATTCACCTTGTTTTTCAATGCCCTGAATCCTGATAGCTCTGCACACTTGATAGGTAATTTAATCATCTTTGGTGTGGATGAACACAAGCTCAAATTAGGTTCTGAAAGGCTTAGTCGTCCTGCAGATAGCTCTGCCTTTCCACTTTTATGCAGGAACTGAGCTTCACCAACTGGTTAGCTAGAGGTGTCATTAAAAATTTACAGAAAGAAACAAAGGTGTGCTCCAGCGTCTCTCCTTACCCTTTCTACTGTTACTCCAGTAGACAAAAGGTATGGAACCTGCTTCATGAATAATGAGTCATGTAATATACATAATGCATTTTTAATGGAGCACAGCAATAACATTGAGAGAGATATTTCCAATCTTCAGACTTGCACTGCAGCCTCTCAGTAGCCTGTTCTGATTCTCTGATGCGTTTTCTTTTGCTCCTCTTCATTTCACATTCCCCACCCTAAAGCCGTGACTTTTTCCCAGAAGCAGCTGCATTTCACCCAGATCAGCAGCAGAGCTGGTGTTCGATGCAAGCAGGGGAACATCCTCCCATGCAGCCACACACAGCTGTGTCAAAGGGGTTCAGGCCTGAGCCCCAAGGTATACCAGTTAGGTTGCACGACACTCAAGGGGGAAGACACATCTCAACGAGTAAGAACACCCACCAAGCTTCTTCCCTGAAGAACAGTCCTGCCACCCAGGCTGTGCCCACGCCAGAGGCCCTCCCACCCCAGCAGCAGCTGCCTCCCCTGGCAGCACAGCCCCAGCCAGCAGGTCAGCAGCAGGCACAAACCACTCCAGTCCCATTTGAAAACGGACACTCTAAGGTCAGGCACACATTGCTGTTGTTGTTTTATAGGTTAATGCTGGTAACTGAGCCCACTCAGGGCCTGCTGGAGTAAGACCTGCCAGCGGTAAGGGAGGCTGTGCCTGGCAGGATAACACACTCCTGAAAAAGCACCCCCAGCTGTGCCCTGACCACCCCATGCCTGGTACCCCTAGCCAACACTCACTCCATCCACAACAGCAGCTTCCTGTAAAATAAATATCAAACATTACCCCCAGGGGCAGCCCCAGGCCTACCTGTGCCGCCCACCGAGCTGCTCCTTGGAGACTTCCCTGGTCTGGGCAGAACCCAGGCCATCACCAGGCCTTCCCCGTTTCCACTTAGTCTCCTCAGCTGATCTTCTGCATTAATTAACCCAGCATAATGGACTTCATGTGGCCTTCAGAGCACCTGGCTGCTTCTGTGTGCCCCTGCTGCAGCCTCCCCTGACCGCTCTGACTGTGCCACGTTTCATAAAAGCCCCGTCTGCGAGGCCTT